GGGGGGGGGGGGGTTATCACATATTGAGGGGGCTTGAAAACTGTTGCGTGGTGATGAAAGGGGTGTTATGCAATTGTTTCCTCCACCTTGGAGGAAGGGTTGGGTTATGTTTGTAAAACTTATCAAGTAATTTTCTGTGATAGAACTCTTGAATTTGATTGGTTGATTTTTTCCCAGTTTAAGACAAGTTTCGATGAAATGCTGACACGTTCTCTTTGGTTGTGTGTCTGGAATCACGATCGTTTTGGACACAATGATTTCCTTGGAGAGGTCCTGCTTCCTATGGCGTCGTACGATGAGTCTGGGTTCTCCTGGGAAGACCCTTCTCCTCAATGGTATCCTCTACGAGAAAGGGTAGGTAGTGCGACTCTGTCAGGGGTGTTTTCGCCACTTCGCGTAACAAAGCCTGTTACAGCGACCAGAACATTTATGTATAAACCCTTTTACAGCGACCAGAACATTTATATGTAAACCCTTCTACAGCGATCAGAACAATTATATGTAGACCCTTTTACAGCCACCAGAACATTTATGTATAAACCCTTTTAAAGTGACCAGAACATTGATGCATAAACCCTTTTACAGCGACCAGAACATTTATGTATAAACCCTTCTACAGCGACCAGAACATTTATATGTAGACCCTTTTACAGCGACCAGAACATTTATGTATAAACCCTTTTACAGCGACCAGAAAATTTATATATAAACCCTTTTACAGCGACCAAAACATTTATATGTAGACCCTTTTACAGCGACCAGAACATTTTTATATAAACCTTTTTACAGCGACCAGAACATTCTCTAATGGAATACAGCGGCGAGTTAGTCATTGCACTAATGTACGTACCTCAAGAAAGAATCAAACCAAAGAAAGGAAAAAAGAAAAAGGAAGGAGGAGAACTACACGTTCAAATCAAGGAAGGACACAACCTCAAAGCTAAAGATGCTAATGGATTTTCTGATCCTTTCTGCAAGATGTAAGTGCTAAAGTATGCGCCGAATACACCGTTTTCTCAAGGTTGCGTGCGCATCCAACTTGACGTCCACAAGATTGAAAAACGCAAATTCAGTAAAACTGAGAAACCAGTTTTATATTTAAAGTGCAAATGAACCCTTCGACAATACTTTCAGTACTGATTCTACATGAAGTAAATAGTTGAATGGTAAAATATTTCTTGATTTGAGTGATGCGTCTCTAAGTTATGAAGGTTTATACTTCCAATGAATATGCTTATAAGTATGACGTCTTTTAAGGCTTAATTAAGTATAAAAAATTGAACTGGTTCATAGAAACAGTATTTAAAAAGCATCATTATTTTACTCTATTAGCTATTTTAAATTTGTATTTTCAAAATGGCCAGCATTTAATATTACTAGTTACAACAAAAACACTCATATACCTTACCTGACGTCACCATCTCACGTTAAGCTGACCATTTTTTTAAACCAGATATCTACTACCAGACAAGAGCAGAAAGACAAAACGGAAAACCCAGACGATCAAAAAGAACGTGAACCCCAAATGGAACATCTCCTTCGTTTACGAACACCTTACATTGGAAGACCTTATGGACCGCTCCTTGGAGGTAACAGTGTGGGACTGGGATAGAGGAACGAGTAATGATTTCTTGGGAGGACTGCGTTTGGGAATGGGTGCTAAGACGGAGACATGGGATGACGCGGAGGGCGAAGAGATCGCGGCGTGGCAGAAGATGTTGGATAATCATAATGAATGGAACGAAAGCACTATTGCACTAAGGTCCAGTATGCACAGTCGTTAATTTTACTCACTGTTAAAAGTTAACTAAATCCATTGGGTAACCGAGAAATAACCAAGAAATAACCGAGGGATAACCGAGGGGCACCCGAGGGATAATCGAAGATCTTCCCGAAGGATAATCGAATTCAGTATCCCTAAAAAAACTAAATGATAACAAAGAGATAAGGAACAAAAGTGACGAACACCCGAATATTATACGTAAGATAAACGAGGGGTTGCCGAAGTATTCGGAAGGGATAACGAAAAGGCATTTGAATAACACTCAAATTATTTAACCGAAAGCCGAACTGTTTTGCGAGCTTAGCAACTTGCTTCTAAAATTTGCGGTATCTTTATGAGACAATTTAAGACACTTAATAAGTGTCAGAAACTGTATCAATGGCGAAAATTTAAATCTGAATGCACATAGCATCATCCACTTTCGTGTCCATTCATTCATATCAAAATTGTCGCCGAGTTTTGCATCGTATTTGCGCATGCTTACAGAGCATGCGCACTGTAATCAAGAAAAATTTCTCATTGCTTATGTCTATTGAACAATCTTATGTTCTTTGAGACTGATTGCGCTATCTTGCGAATTCTGCTCTTTCGAGAACGCGTTTTCTATCGATTCATACTTTGAAATTTAAAGAAAAATGAGAAGAATATTCTTTAATACACTAAATATTTTGCATGTTATTCTCAGTAACTGAAGATAATACTTTATTAATGCATGCTCTCGTGATAGGCACACACGTTAAAAGAGCGCGCAAACGATCACTACAAGTGTCGATATAATAGGACTCGCCACTAAAGTTTAAAGCTGCACTATAATCTCTGTAACTTAAACGGAAAAAGTCAGGCCAGTTTTCAATAAGAAAAGAAAGCTCAATTTTCTCTTCATCTTTGTGCAAAAATATGAGCTTCGAGAGAGTTTCTTTTTCAAGTGGCTGAAAATCTCATTAATTTAATAATAATTAATAATTAGTTAATAATCCATCTGGATACTAAAAAACTGCTAACACATACATACACATAACATAATTCTAAAAAACAATCTACTGCTATAATTTACTTAGGATAATCTTCAATCTATTGATTATATTTAAATATCTAATAATTTAGAAGTATTGTTATTCTATTAATAATAATTAATGAATGGTAATATTATAGTAATATTGTACTTGCTTAAAAATTGTGTCCAATTGCACGAATATTTACATTACATATTTACACTTGGGTTTTTTTCTAAATTTTTGTATTTACCATAGAAAATAATGTGTTGTAAGATAGTTTGTTAAATAATAGGTTTTGTTCTTAACTTTTAAGTTAAGACTTGCTTTATTTGTTTACATTAAGCTTATAGTCCCTTTCACAGTTCCCTGCGCCATCTTGTAAGGTAGCCGTGCCTTTACTTCGAAGCTCACCATTCGTCTTGCTTCAATGCAAAGGCACAGCGACCTGTCGAGATGGAGCAGGGAACTTTGATGGGGACTATGACTATTGCAATCGTGTTACATATATTTAACTTAGGAAAATATTTGAAGAAAGTATATGTTTTTGTATTTTTTTCTTCTTTTTGGTTTAGATTAATCTCAGTAATATTTATTTCTTTTGTTCAGTTTTCAATTTTTGCACTAATTTGTTTGCTTGCATATTGTATTTGTTAATTGTAAGAAATAAATAAAGTTCAATTCGTTAGTTTGGTTTTAGCATTTTAGTTTTTTGCGGTTTTTTAAAAAAATCAAAAAGAAAAAAATTAAATTCAAAAATAAAAGAAAATCTAAAAGTAAAGAGAAAAATAAACAAAATAAATTTAAATAAGATCTGCCTTAATAGCTTTTTATTCCATTTTTTAAGAATTTCATTGAATGATCTTTATTTTTAAAAAATATTTAAAAAGTTAAGATAAATTACTTGTAAAAAAACGCCTCTATAAAATATTCAACAAAAAAATATTTTACCTGATAATTAATAGTCAAGAAAGAGAATATTTTTTCAATTTTTTAAATCAAGAAAATTAACTAATGTAAAAGAGAAATTTAATTTTAACTTTGCATGTTTTATTGTATTAATAAAAGTTCAAAGAATTAACTATTTGCATGACTAAAACAATGGTATCTCGAAGATATTAGTTGTTAGAGCTACCCTGTAAATTTGAGAATAAATTAAGTTTATGTATGTATATGTATAGTATGTAATGATACTGTACACTTTATGATTTAGAACACATGTATTAGTTTTAGTAAATATTTAAGAATTATGATTATTTCCACTTTTCCTTTAGATAAAGTTATTGCTCGAATTAATTGCATCTATCTTGTTGCATGAATGTGATAATTACTAGTTTAACACAATTAATATACATTTAATAGCATGTTTAACCTTTTTTTACATTGATGACAACTCTTTTATCATTCAAGAATTGCTTCTAGTTGCTCATAATTAGAAAGATATTTCCATATAAGACATAATTATACAATCCAATATCATTCTCTTCACCTGATTTAAAAAAATAACTTATTGACTTAAGATATCTACAATTCTTTGCAAAACGAGTTCATTTTTAAAAGCATGAATTATGATAACTCTGGTATCTTATAAATTATAAATTATTGGAACTTTAGATATAGAAAATTAAATTTAAAAGGTATGTATTCTCGACTTTCACATCCCCATAATGCCTTGCGTTTGGGGGGGGGGGGG